GTGCAATAATACAGGCGACCAACACGCACACACATACGCATGCCCGAACGATTTGTCCGTGCAGATTCTACGGTATAAAATTAAATGGTATTCGGTAGGTCTATTTCACTCGGGCAGGTAGCGGCCACCGGTAATTACTACCTACGACTTGGGAGCTCAGAGATAAAATGAAAGGCCCGGACGATTTTCGGAACCGAAATCGCGTCAGTCCCTGATGTGATGTTGCTGTTGTTGTTGCTGTTGCTGCTGCTGCTACTCACTTTCATTCTTCTCTTTGCCAATTCTCACTCATGTCCTTTCTTTCTTTCTGCAATTCGGAATGATCAATCGCGCCATTTCATTCACAAACCATGATGATTAGCGAGATAAAGGGATAATTAAAAATATGTAATTTTCTACTACTCTTTATTAACATATATAAGGTATAAGAGATATACATTTGCGTAATTAATTTTGAGAAATTATTGTGCTACACTTTGTTACGATTTTTTTCTCTACTTAGATAACGTCTGTTATTTGGAATCGTTCGATGCAAGTTATTTAAGCAAAGGTACTTACAATCACCTAATTTAACTAATTTAGATGGAAATTATTTGAAGGTGTATCGCTGCGTTTTGCAATTAGTGTTAACATCTAATCATAAGATATGGATACTTTCATCGATGCGTCCCACTGCGTCGCCAGAGTCTAGACGGTAGCGGATTCGCAATTAAGATATTAAAGGAACACTTCTCTTCCGTAGGTTTACATAATCGTAGCTAGGTAATTACGTATTTACATAATTACATATATGTATACTGTGCGCGTTTATTTCGCTAATGAGATCGACGATAACAATCAATTTGTACAGCCCACTTTCTGCATTTATCCATTTTTTAAACCTATTTATTTTTGAGTTAAATACAATGATTACTATCCACAAATTAATTGGTATGCATCTATATTGCATTTTCGTGTAATATCTTCAATTGATTTCGAATGCTACCGTACCAATCATACCGAGATACTTTTACGCAAGAAGGATTTAGGCAAGAAAATCGCATATTAAATAAAAATTGCCACTTTATTGTTTTTCCACGTATTCGTTATAATTTGGCGATTGTAAAAATTTCTAACTGTATTTGTCTTTCATCTAGTGTGAGAAAAATCGCGTGAATGCGCCAAGCAGATTTTTTGAAAGTGGCAATTCTGATTTTCGCAGATGCATCGCGGTTTGCATCGGTAAATGAGTTTCCTAAGAAGAGGGCAAGAACAAAGGAAGGAGGAAGACGCACTTGAAGAGGACACGGTAGAGTCGTTCCTCAGTATGCGTTCCGCGAGCGTTTTTTTCGACCGGACGGGCGAATTATTCGTACTTCGCAAGTTTCACGAGAGTGTATATAAAAGTAGGCGCACTGAGGTATGGCTCGCTGCACCTTGGCTATGCGGAAAGGAAAGGTTCTTCTTCTCCAGCAAACGCCGACCGACCAGCCGCGCAAGCGTACATACACATACACAATTCACGCGCGTGCAATTCGCCACCACCGATACTGAAGGCCGTCATTCTGCACACTCGTGTGCGCGACACGCAGAACGGTTAACGTTGCGACAAGTTACGGAGGTGTGCACATGTTGATGGCACAATGGTAACACGTTCTCAACTAGAATGCTTCTAAAACATGCTGTTTTTTTAATTAACTAGAAATTCAACTCGATAGTTTTCGAAACTTGGACTGGATCGCCAGACTTGTTCATCAAAAGATGAGGAAGTTCGTGAAACATTTTTTATAAGTGTTTTTTTTTTATTTTATTATTGTAAGAGTAAGAACATTGCGGGTGAATTCGAAATTTTATTTTTTTTAATGCAAATCGTGATAACTTATTTGGACAATGGAATTATTACAATGTACGTATAATATGTGGTTAGAAAGGGATGAACTTTCGACTTAATAGCCGTGAAAGCGTTGTGCTGCGAAAGACGAAAGAAATAATTACTCTGCAAAAGGCATGGTACTAGGATAGGAAAGCGATCGCTAATATGAGGTGTCCACTTTTATTACACTTCGACAGTTCTGAGGAACTTCAATTATCATTGGGTGATGGTCAATTTCGACGATGTGAGAAAATACTGGGATATAGAGACTTTGACGGCATCAATAATTTATCTTTTTATACATTTTAAGCCATCACTGATTATTATAATAATTACAGTAATTACATAATGGTTACAAGAAAAATGCGAGCATCGCTGAAATATTATCAGGAAAATTCTTGTGTCAGTATCTTTCAATTCGATGAAATTTTGTCGGACATTCTGGTCGCGTTCATGAACGATTTTCTTGAGCATCTCCTTAAGCGCCCATCCGCAACTCCGTCGGAGAGGCTCTTCCGTGTCGGCTAACTTAAAGCATCTTCAGCTTGCTCGTCGTCCGACAATTTCTCGTCGGCACGTGAGCGGACTGTGCAAAGTTTGCGGAACGCGCGTTTGCAAACGTTCGCGCGCGTTCTCTTGCGAGAGAGAGAGAGAGAGAGAGAGAGAGAGAGAGAGAGAAAGAGAGCTGGACCGCACGGAGGCAGGAGGTTACCGACGAAGCTGAGAGAGCCTCCAGAATAAGTATACTTAGCTAATAAAACGCGTACGCGCGCGTCGTTACACACAGCGTTCGCTTTCCAAACAAACGCGCGGCTCTCGTCACCGCACGCATTCGGAAACTCGTACGACGGGATTTATCGCTGTTACGACGGACATCCGTCGTCGTAAACGAGAACCGCGACGATGACGACGAACTTTGCCTCGCGACATGATTCTAAGAGAGAGGGAGAGGACTCATCCTGCATTTTCCAACGTACAAAAAGCATCGAGCGATGTTAATAGACGTACTTGACGCTGCGAGAATAGTTATTACTATTGCCGAATGGGTCGGGTTAACGCGAGGATAAATCGCGATATCATTTTTATGACGATGGAATCGCATGTACGCGAGGTCGTCTTCACGAGCAACAGCTTGATCGTAAAGCACAAAACATTCGTTTAAAATTTATTGATACGAGCCTCCTTCCGTGCATTCCATCGCGAGCGGAATGATACACGGTGGGGAGTGGATTGCTTCGCAGATTGCAATATTTTCAATAGTGTTTCTAAATAAAGTTTAAGTATTATTGAGATATGAGTTTAGCAGATACTGATTTCGTAGAAACACGATATAGTTGGTTTACGTGCCGCTTCGTTCCGTTTCCTTTCAACGATTTCTCCAAATTGCTCCAAGTGTGTACATTACCACGATATTATTATATACAAAAGTCAAAAGCACGCGGCTTGTATAATATTGTATCTTGAACGAATTTCTATAAGTGCCGTGCGAGCCACGTATATTGTCAGAATACACAAAAGATCTAATTCGTTCCGTTGTATTATTTTCTCTTCTGCCTTTTTCGAATCATGATTATCGTCACGCGGCGGTCGATCTCGTGAAATGGTTTTCTTTTCAATTATTCTTTGATTTATTCCCGACGTCTTTTGAATCGCGGGAGCTCAGCGCCGCATCGCGCCGACCCGTTAAAATGTCACTCGCGAGACGGGCTTATATAACGTAGAGGGAAACGCGTTATGGAAAGCAAAGGCCAGCAGACGATCCTTTGCGCTTTCTACCTTCGATCTTACTCTTACGATAATTATGTATGCATGTACACACACACACACACACACACACACACACACACACATACACGTGTCATGTTGAATATACCCTGTACGCTCGAGAGTGCGATTCTAGCCTTCTACTTATAGCGCTCTTTAAGTGAATTAAACTATAACAAAATTACTTTCTCGAGGAAGCAGGTTCGTATAGTAATATCGTTACTACATTAATTTCGAAAAGTATTGGGTAATGTGAAATTTTCATTTTTTCGTTAAGTTAGGTTTTCAAGCTTTAACAGATTTTTATATTATTTTACACTGTGTATGAAAAAATCTGAAAAAATGTTTATGTATAAAATCTATAACAACGAGTTTTTATTATTATAGAAATTAATTGTATTATTTTTTCTAGCAGAATTTACAGACCAAAAATCGAGTGGGTCTTTAAAGTCCTGCATTGCTCTGGCAGAGAGTTAAAGAAGGAAGATTAAAATATGACAAACTTTGAATACATTATATTTCGTTTTTATTGATGTGTCTCGATACACATAACAAAACATATTATATATTTATATATTGACCATTCGGATTACTATCTATTAAACTGCTTGTATATTATTGTTCGAATTTGCGTATAAGGAGAATAGATTTGCAAAAGTGAGAAAAAAAATAATCATTCGTTATACGTATATATGTAAAATGTATGATGTGTATCGCGCGTAACGGCACGCAGTATCGTGGCGAGCTCGAAAATTGCCTGGCCGTGATTGCAGTTTCGAAACTGCTCGATTTCTTTTCCGAGATTAGCCCGAAGCTGCTGCTGCTGCTGCATTTGGTGCATTCGCCTGAGGCCTCTCTCTCTCTCCTGAGATATACTAACGTGAGATTTCCGTTTCCACGATACGCAATAATGGATAGTAACCCGAGGCCTTTTCAGGTTCCCGCGCTTGGTGCAAAAGCGGGAACCGAATTTTATGAAAAAGTCTTTCATAACACTAGAAGGGGCTCCTAATTTTTTTCCTGTGTCTTACTTACTATTCATTTTCTGCAAATTTCGAAACAATTTACGAAACAAATTTCTATCTAGTTAATGAGAAACAATAAGTAGTATATAATTCCACATTTAACGAGTCGTTTTACGATTCTTATATATATATATATATATATATATATATATATGTATAGCGTCTAAGCATAAGTTGTTTTATCAGCGTAAGTTATATTTTAATCTTAGAAATGTTTTTTATAGACATTAGACATTTAATATAATGTGATGACTATCACGATAATAATTAACAGTACATTGAGAATAATATCGCAATGCGAAATATGGTCGAACAGTAAATTAATTCTAAAGACTATTTGTCTCTGTTTGCTGCTGCAGGCGACAACCGCGAGCGGATACTTCGAGGTGCAGATCCTCTCGCTGACGAACAACAGGGGCACTCTCGTGGACGGTAGATGTTGTGGCGGAGGAGGCGGGGGCGGAAAAGGAGAATTTCCACCCTGTACGACGCCCTGCTCGACGGCCTTCTGGCTATGTCTCAAGGAATACCAGTCGAATGTCACTGCCATCGGCTCCTGTAGCTTCGGCAACGTATCTAGTCACGCACTCGGCCCAAACACTTTTACCCTCTCCGACCCCGTCACTCTACAACTCCACTTCACCTTCCGATGGACGGTGAGTCGTTACTTTGTAATAATCTAGCTGCTACTGAATTTATATTTTATGAATAATCGTGATGTTATTCACATTTTCCTGTGATGGTGCAACATAAACAAAATGTGACAAAAAGATTATGCTAAACAGATATTTTACGTGTTTTATTCTGATTTATGAGTAATAAGTGTTTTCCCATTTATGACGTTTACTTTAATATTATTTATTTAATACGGATTCAATATCGACGAACGAAACGATTCAATATCAGACGATCACATTTAACGCTGTAAATTCGCGTCGAGAGGTCTAAGAAAAGGCATTCTGAAAGTCGCTCGAATAGCGAAACACGGGCAGAGCATCACCACCTAATATCCGTGAGAACGCATACGTCGGCTGAAAATCCTAAGCGATCGTCGTTACACCACGTACGCACGAGGCAACGAGACTGGATTCGATGTCTCGCGCGATTAATGACAGCTTACGGTATACGGGACTATAATTTTGTTTGGTCACCGGCACAATGACGTCGTCGCACCGAAAGATGAACGGGCGAGAGGATGAAGTCGTAACGAGGGAACGACACATTCGGACTTACGAATCGGCTGCTACGAGATCATTTATCATCGACGTCGTGACACGACGCCGCCGCGGCCGACGGAGAACGGCGGCGTCTCATTAGCGACGCCGGGGGCCGACATTGTAAATATGTATGGGTATTATACCGGTGACTACCTACTTTTCTCGTTCGAGCTCTCATTCTCGAAATCACCGAAAGCTGGCCGAGTGTGAATTGTGTGCGAACGGCTCAACCGTTCTTTCGCAACGTATAAGGCTAACGACCAGCAGCGAATAAGAATCGTGCGCTTATAATTCGCCATTATTAATATCGCCAGTCGGTTGAATCGCCAATTTCTAGCCTCGATTTCCTTTGTCTACTATACGGTGAGGCGAGGAGATGCGAAAGAGTTATCGAATCTGCACGAGGGATTTCCGGTCCGCTGGTCTCTCATTCGCGCGAGTCGTTGCGTAGAATTCCAGTTTGGTTCCAGTCGCTTGGCAACTCCTCATCGTCGATTCCTTCGTCTCTCCCGCTGCGTTCCTCCTCTTTTCACCCCACGTTCTTCGTGAACTCTCATGGCGAAATTTTTACGATGGTTCACCCACGATGAATTTACCTTGTCGTTTTCTCTACAGTTATGAATCAGTTTATTCAACTGTGAAGAACCAAAATTTATTTCACATATATATTATACATTTAAAAATCGCGAATTTTCTATAAGATATTATCTATACTAATCTTAATTCGTTTCTCATATTTGTCGCAAGATGATCGTCTTGTGTTTAAAAAAGTAACGAAAGAAAATGCAAACTGTGACTAGCGAAAAGTAACATTTAAAATAATACTCACTTGTTACAATATTAACGTAAAATGATTATAATATATTGTATTATTGGGCAGTGCATTAAAAAAATTTTATCTTTCTCGAAAGCCAGAAGAGTCATCTTGTCGGTATCCAAATTAGTAGCACACCACCTACGACCAGACCGCCGTTGTTGTTTAACGTAATTATAGCATAATGTACGAACGATTTGGAGAATGCCCAAACAGTCCTCTCGAGAGACGTTGGAGTGCACAGACATCAGGCGTACGTGCCTTCACTGGACTGTCGAGAGGGCCTCCTTCAGACGACGATGGGTTCGGTGGGTGCCTGACGGGTCCTGAAGACGGGCACTGCATTAAAAAAAACGCACCCGTGTACCTACCTACACGCGTCCATGTCGTCATGAGTTGTTTGAAGAGCGCCAGTTCTTCTGTTTATATATTTCATAACTCGCTCGCGGGTATCTCTCAACGAGAGGACCCATCACGCGACAAAGGAACTCTACGGGGCCCCGTTCTTTCTACTTTTTCCTTTCTCTCTCCTCTCTTCTCGAAGAACCACTGTGCAAGTGGTATAAACAGAAACCCTTAAATTGCTTCCTTTTCATGAAGGATTCTTTCTCTCATTTTCCGACGCACTATCACTTGGATCATTTAGCGCTTCGCCGGTCTAATTCAATTATGATGCCGCTGCTGCGTAATAAAGAAAAAAAATATATATAAAGCATACAGGTATACGAGAGAATGTGGGTATGTTTGCGCATAACGAAATACGTCAAAATAAGGGGAGAGGAATAAGAAACGCGGAGATAACTGCCCGGATACCTCGGTATCTCGCGTCTACTCCCGTCGTGCAATAGCTGCTATAGAACGGTTTTCATGGTGGTGTACCCACCATGGAAAACGGTAAACCGCCTGACTTTCATCGTCCTTCCGCGAATAATGCCATCATTATCGTCTTCGCTGATGATTGAATACGGTATATATAATCTCGTCCTCTCTCGACATAGTACCGAGACGCGAGTGAGCGGCGAACACTCTCGCGCAAAGGCTACCGAAAGCCACCTGCGCTTAGCGAAGCTGGCTTCGAAAGAGTATCCAAGAGAGTCCCCTTCTCGCCAATATATTTATCTTATGATTCTCATCAGTGTTGAACGAGCCGCAAGTGTTTTGATCGCATGTCCATTCGCGAAGATTTTCAATCTAAATCTATCGTTCATTTCTCGTTTGAAATCGACGAATAATTTAAGAACGATTTCCCTGCTTTATGCGAGTAACTATAATAGTTGCGTGTGTACGTGCGAAAATTGCAATTGGAATTTGGAATTTCGTACACGCAAAACTCGTCACGGTAAAATAATTGGATCGTTGAGTTTAATACATAGAGAAACATGGTATAATGTTTATAGACTTATTAGATACCAGACGTCTATGTATCTGTATATTTGTGTAACTGTGGATAAATTATATATGCGGATTTCGCCGACAATCGCAAGTTTTCTAATAGCGACCTAGATTACGCGAACGTGATGCGATCACGATAGCAACGTCAAACGTTATAATCGTATATAGTTATTGACGACATGCATAGGATGTAGATGTATAAAGATACCTGGTATCTAGAACTATTAGTAAAACTTTCCCTACTTCTGATTTCAATATCGATGTAAAGAATATTGAACGGGGTAAGCATCTCTCTCTCTCTCTCTCTCCTCCCCTCTCTCCCTCGTCTTCAGCAGTCGCATAATGGTGCGGGAAGCGATCAGCGAGATGAGAGTATACAGCTGAGCTTTTGCACAATCCACCTCGGAGCTATATGTATCTTCGACCTGAGTGTGCTCCATGTTTCCTTTCTCCAACCACGCATCTTCTTTTCGTGGTTCGATTTCTCTCTCTATCCTCGTTTGTTCTCGATAATTTCTTCTTGTCGTTCGACCGTTGCCAATGTGATTCTACGAACTCTCTACACGATTCACATGTGATGGTACGCGACCTGTTCATACGTTTTGTATGCATCGACACGTACGACTGACCAGGGTGTTGAACGCAACGGAACATGTACATCAGACCTATGCGTCTTCAATCTGGGCGCCACTATGAATGGTAAAACATCACGAGAGACGCCGCTGGATCCACGTGGACGCTGCTGTAGTGTCTTTGTTCTTCGAGAATAATGTGCATCCAATTATTTAAATAGTTTAGCGATTTTTTTGCTGTATTGCGATTAATTAATCTTATGCGGGAAAACAGGTGGTTGTAAAATCTGCAAAATATAATAATCGTCGAAAAGGTTAGACTAAAATAGAGATTTCAGTTATGAAAACTGTTTTTTAAGTGTGGCATTGGCGCACAGTTATATGAATCACAAAAGAGAAAGAGTCTCATCGAATTGAATTGGAAACCGTGTCTGTGGCACGTTTAATCTCCTTTCCCCAGACACGTGATTAATTCCGACAATCGTAGTTTCGATAATGGACGTATAATGATAAACGATGTTCGGCCGAGCGGCATTCATCACGTAAGAGGCGGCGACCGGCAGCGGGAACGAAGGGGCGCCGAGCGGGGAACGAAAATGAAGGAGCCCGTTCAAAGACGCGTCGTGGAACGCCACGGGGATCGAACGACGTGAGTCAGGGGTCTAACAGGTGTACATCCGCGTCTCGAAAGCGAGCCCTGCGGCCTTATTAGCGTTTTCCATTCCCGCCGATATCTTCGTTGTCCTTTCGATCTATCGCGTGTTCCAAAATTACGAATATACACAATTTGAAATCACACAAAACTCCTTTTTATTCCATCCTTATATATGATGTATAGTTAAAGTCTAAAATGTATGTCGAAAAAAATTATATTTTCTTGTTTTTTAAATACACATGATTCTTCTAAATTTATTGAAATAAATCTTTGAATTAATTATTTCTTATTTTTATAATATAATAAAAGAAAAAAAAGACGGAAATTGAAAACACTTACTATAGATGTTCAACATAATCGTGTAATGACTGTGATCTCTTTATAAGGGGACAACTTTTGGTATTTTATTTCGTTTAATATTGCTCGTAGAATCGCCAGCTGCCCTATGCAACCGCTGGTCACACCGTGCACTTAATAGCATCATGAATAAACTGCGCTAAGCCCGCAAGCGGCACCTACGGTTGTTCAAATATATTAGTGCCGTTAATACGCGACGCTAACGCGAATAATGAATAACGCTCGCGGGATTTACATCGCGCGCGACCGTCGAGCCTTTTTCTAATCACACGTAAATTGCACCATTTCGAATGCGGAAGCATAAGCGATTTGTTAAAACTTCCGTGCAAACCGGTCTTCAGAGGGGAGAGACTGGCGATCCGAAATTGCTCTCTTTGCGCCGATCGCCTGCGGGGGTTACAATCATGGCTAGCCGCATCGGTCCCGTCATCGAGATTTACGTTCGCGCGCGAATTAAAGATTTTCTGATTGCCAGTTCCCGACCAATTGGCTCCTGGCGAAGACAATCTCTCAACGAAAATTAGCGATTGCAACGACACAACACATACTCTCGATATTCCCACGCCGGCATTAATCTTAATTCCATTAACGTAATAGTCATACTGCCGATATAATGACCTGTACAATTTGTCATCGATTGTTGAGCAAG